AAGCTTGCCAAGAGGGGTGAGGTGAAGGTGGGGAAACTGTGCCAAGCAGAGAGAACAAGGTGTGCTGAGGCCCAGGTCCAGAGAGCATAGGAGTTTTGAGGAACTGAAGGACATCTGGCAGGGTTGGGCCCTGGTGGTTAGGGTGGGGAAGAGATGGGGAGGGCAAGCAGAAACTGAGAGGCAACCACGGCTCTGCCCTTGCTGGGCTGTTAAGGCTGCAGTGGGGTCAGAGTGGGACCCTAAGAGCCATTTGTGGGTAGGAGACTGGGAATTTTAAGTAGGGAGTGTCATGGTCAGGTTCAGGACTTTGTTACTCAGTCATTTGGCAGTCCCCGGGTTAGTGGCTTGGAAAGGGGCAGAGCCGATTTGGGGGTGTGGATGGAGCCTGGAGGTGGGAAACACTGTTGAGGCTCTTACAGAAAGATGGTGGTGGCCTGGTTGGAGTCACAGCAGTGCAAGTGGGGAAGAAAGGAGTTGGATACATGTAGAAATAATGACAAGATTGACATGTTAGGGGCTGTTAATCAACAGGAGGTAGTAGGGCCTAAAGTCCAGTCTTATCAACATGTGAGCCTTGGTGGCTTCATTGTGTAAAGCCTACCTTGCAAGGTTCTTGTGGGGACCCAGTAGAACAAAGACAATATCACATCTGTTACAGACGAGAGTGAGCACAGGTCCCTCAGCAAGCACCAGAGCCATGGCTGACCCTCTCTTCTTTACCTGCTTTGCAGAGCATACATGCCTTGGCACAGATGACCTTCAGTGAGGTGCTGGCAGGGGAGGGGAAAGGAAGGTACTGTCTGTTCCTCCAGGCCAGCCACAGACCTTGAGGAAGCCACAATAAACCCTGTGTTTGTTTGATAAAGCACTTGGCTTTTGGTCTCACAGGAGGAAGAGCTGGAACAGGTGTGGCAAGGCCAGAGCAGCCCACAACACAGCAGTGGGAGGTGGGGTGGGATGAGCCCCGGGGCCTGGCCGGGGGCTCCAGGCCTGTGGATTTGGGTCTTACTACCCAGCCATCTTGTTAATGTTCCCAGGCTCCTGCCTAATTGAATACACCAAAAATGGTAACAATACCAACTCCCATTAATTCAGGTCCTTTTTCACTCACACAGGCACGTTTTCATTCCAAAAAGAGGTGTTGGCCTGTGCCAGGTGCTGTAGACACAGTGAAGCTCAGGACAGTGCCCCTAACCTTGGGAGATGATCTGGTGGGCAGGTCTGACAGGAAACAACAACACAGCATAGTGTGTGCGGCACAGGAACTCTGAGAATGGCTCAGCTAATCCTCAACAGAGCTCAGTGGTATGGTCACACCCATTTTGTAGAGGAGGAGACAGGCTCAGAGGCGTCAACTGCTTTCCTGGTAAATCTGGTTCTAATTTTCCTCTGCAGGACATGATAAGGATAAAAATGGGGATGGAATGGAAAGCAGTGTGGAGGTTCCTCAAAAAGTTCAAAATAGAAATACCATTTGACCCAGGAATTCCACTTTTAGGAATTTACCCTAAGAACGCAGCAGCCCAGTTTGAAAAAGACAGATGCACCCCTAGGTTTATCGCAGCACTATTTATAATAGCCAAGAAATGGAAGCAACCTAAGTGTCCATCAGTAGATGAATGGATAAAGAAGATGTGGTACATAAACACAATGGAATATTATTCAGCCATAAGAAGAAAACAAATCCTACCATTTGCAACAACATGGACGGAGCTACCAGGTATTATGCTCAGTGAAATAAGCCAGGTGGAGAAAGACAAATACCAAATGATTTCACTCATATGAGGAGTATAAGAACAAAGAAAAACTGAAGGAACAAAACAGCAGCAGAATCACAGAACCCAAGAATGGACTAACAGTTAGCAAAGGGAAAGGGACTGGGAAGAATGGGTGGGAAGGGAGGGATAAGGGCAGGGTAAAAGAAAGGGGGTATTACGATTAGCATGTATAATGGGTGTGTGGGGGGGCATGGGGAGGGCTTTGCAACACAGAGAAGACAAGTAGTGATTCTACAACATCTTAATATGCTGATGAACCATGACTGTAATGGGGTCTGTGGGGGGAACTTGATGAAGGGGGAACCCTAGTAAACATAATGTTCTTCATGTAATTGTAGATTAATGATAACAACAACAACAACAACAACAAAATGGTGATGGAGGGACGAGTTAGAAGGGCCCTCATGGATCATGTGGTCCAACCCCCTTGTTGAAATGATGGAGAAGCTCACACCTGGAAGGGGAAGGGAATTGCTGGGTCACATAAGAAAAGGAGCAGGTCTAGAACTGGCAGCCTCCCAGGCCCGGGTGCTCCTGCACACCAATGCCTTTCTCTTCTCCAGCCATCCAAAGACTCCCTGGGACCCCTCACATGGGACCCTCCTCAGTTTAGGGTGTGTATCCTGCATCACCCCTGTTTAGACCCTCACCTCCAGAAAAGGTGAGAAGAGGTTGAGTTAGGACAGACCCTGAGGCGAGGCAGGGATGTATGTGTATGTCTGGGGTGTGCAGTGGGGTCCCTCAGCACCCCCAGGAGAGCCCAGGCTGGGGGGAGACCAGAGACCCAGGGAGGGTCCAAGGGCCCCCCCTACCTGAGGGTCTGTCTCTCTTCTCTGTCACACCCCTCTGGCTTGGGGGTGCTGAGGGTTGGCTCTGGGCCTCAGGCTGCTGCTCTGGCATAGTGTGGCCCATAGCCATTCTGTCCAGCCTGTCCCCTTGAAGCTGGTGGTAAATGAATAACTTTGCTCCTGTCTGCAGGGCTTTCTTGGACAAAGAAGCCACCCGGTGCCCTTTAGTTCTGACTTGGCCACCCAGCTGCCTGAGTGCCCTGGCCGGGGACCAGGGGGTGAAGGCAGATACAACACCTTGGTCCTCTGTACCCACTACCCCAATCTAACCCCAGACAGGCCCAGAGGACGGTTCTCTTCTCTGTTTCCTCCCCCTCACCTCCTATTTCTAAGCCCCCTCTTTCTCTGACCTTTCCTACCCTGCACTGAGTACCCCCCCATTGGGCCCCTCCTCTCAGAGAGCCCCCCTACTGAACTCTGCCCCCTTTTCTCAGCCCCACTCTCCCTGAGCCCACATCCACTCTATCCAATTCTCCCTAGGACCCAGCTCCATCAGTCACCCCCCACCCTAAATTCAGTGTCTATTTCCTTCCCCCCAGGCTAGAAGGGTGGCTCCCAAAGGGGTCTAGTTTGGAGAGAGAACAGTCACAAAGCCAAATCCTTCCCTGGAATCTTACAGAGAATGACCTACAGCTAAGGTCCTTTCACGGTTCAAAGATATACTTTGTCTTCCTTGGGTCATGAAGGGTGACAACATAAAGATATTCCTTACCAAGAGGAGAATTCTGGAGGGCTAAGTGAAGGACTGTACTGAAAAATCTAGCTACTGCTGGAATCTTTTGCAAAGAAGCTCAAGACACAGTAACTTTGAAGTAATTTCAAGTCTCCCCAATCCCAAATACCTGTCTTGTGACCCTCACTCACCATCAAGTTGCTGACTTGGCCTAGATTCCCTTTATAGGCAACCTCTTGTTCTACAGTTTCCATTCCCTTTTCCTTGCATTGCATCTGTCTGCACACTTCTTGCTAAGGCCACTGTGGTGACCACCTTGCTGTTTTTAGTCCCATGGTTATTCATCAAGCCTCATCTTGCCTGACCACTTCTACAGCCTCAGATGATATTGCTAACACCCGCCTATTGAAACCCTTTCTCTTTGGTTTCTAGACTGACCTCATCTATTCTCCTGGTTTCAGTTGTCACCTATATCCTAACAACAGCCAAGTTTACCACTCCTGAGTTCCAGATCTTTATATATGCCCTGCCACTTCCTGGCTGTCTCTGTCTAGAGGTCCCACAGGCTTACCAGACTCTGTACATCAACCTGGTCTCCTATTTTGGTAAATGGTACTACCATCCATTCTGCAACCTAAGGCAGAAAATTGGGCTTATCCTAGTTCTTCCCTCTTCCTCACCCCACATATCCAGATGGTTCTCCAGCCCTGCTCATGGCTTCCTTACCAGCCTCCCAATGTCCCTGCCCCCAGCCCCACTGTTCCTGCCTTATTTCTGGCATCTCACAAGGGGGTGGCTGCATAGCCTCTCAGATTGCTTCCCTGCCTTCATCTCCCTCCTTGAATCCCAGTTACATGGAGGCTAGAGAGGTTATTTGAGCATAAATCTGACCAGGTACGTCCCTTCCATGACTCCCCAAAATCAGAGTAAAGTCCAAAAGTCTGCGCTTCTGCACATGAAACTATGACTTGGCCTCCTCTGGGCCCCTGGGCCACATTGCTACTTCCTGTTACCTTGCTGTCTAGCCAGCCATGTGGAGTCTCTTCCTGGATCTGGGCACAGGCCCCCTTTTCTGCTGACGGGACCCCCTCCACCTTGTCTAAGATGCAGATACTTCCAAACCTGTTTACCTCAAGCACTGGAGTGTCACCAGAGGGTTCTGTGACCCCCCTCTTTCCCTCCCTTAAGGGTCATCTCTCTCATCTCTCCTGCAGATGAGAAGATTCCAGTTTTACTTTTGGGTGTGTGTTTTATGAAAAACAATAGGTCTTTTTGTTCTCCTCTTCCAAATATGAAATCATAGCATTGAGTGTGCTCTTTCATATGGCACAGGGGAGATTCTGGGGTGCAGCTGCACAGTGGAAGACCCATGCTCCAAACACAAACCCAAAGGGCACAGCCTTGGGCAGAGGGTCCCTGACATCCTCCTGCCACCTCCCCATGACTCTCCGCACAAGGTGCTGCAGGTGCTTGGCCCGCCTCTCTAGGTTGGCCTTCCTTGTCAGAATTCCCTGTGAGTGGATCAAATGACCACCTAGGAAGCACCCAGCTCCGTTTACCACCTCACTTCTCGGTTACAGAACCTCTGTCTCTCTCTGAGCTTGATCCTGGGCAGCTGGGCGGAATCCAGCCAATGCCGATCCTTGGGGGCAGTGGGGACGCTCTGCAGGGAGGCGCTCAGGACAAGGAGGCACCAGCAACTGCAAAACGAAAGGATTTTATTGACAAATATCAAGTGGCCCTTTTCAAGGCTTCCAGTCCCTGCCCAACGCAGGTTTTGGGGCCGCAGCCCGATGGGGCAGGCAAATAGTGGCGGCCAACCCAGTCCCGCGTTCCAGAGGGGCGCGAGGTTTCATTGTCCCCGCGGGCTGTTCCCTGGGTGCCACAGTCCCGCTCCCCAGCCGGCGGAGGGATGGTAGCTAGGGAAAGGGGGGCCGGGCTGGCCCCTTTCAGTCCAGCGAGAGAGCTGCCTGGCATCTGGGGTTGGCTGGTCTCCGATGCGAGGCTGCACGCTTGACTGGTGGGCGCCCCATATCGTGGGGATGGTGGGCTCTCCTCGCGGCCGCCCCCTCAGACGTAGTCCTTGCGGTCGTAGGCGGTGCTCCCGAGTCCAACTGAACGCGGAGCGGAGTAGATGATCTTGGCGGGCGCGTACTTTTCGCGGGGTGGGCAAGAACAGCAGAGCAGCGAGCCCCCCAGCAGCTGCAGCGCCGCGGCCGCCCAGCCCAGGTACAGGCCGGCGCCCATCTCGCGCTTCTGTGCCTCGGGCACCAGCGGGTTGTAGAAGTCCCGGATGATGGTGTTGGCCGACCAGGACACCGGCACCAGGGTGAGCAAGGCCGCCAGCAGGAAAAGCACGCCCGCCACAATGGTGATCTTGGCCTTGGCCGAGTCGTCCTGCACGCAGTTGGTGCACTGGGCGCCCACGAGCGCTACGAGGAGCCCGAAGGCAGTTAGGAGGATGGCGACGACGATGAGGGCGCGGGCCGCCTGCAGGTCCTGCGGCAGCGCCAGCAGCGAGTCGTACACCTTGCACTGCATCTGGCCGGTGCTCTGCACCACGCAGTTCATCCACAGGCCCTCCCAGATGGTCTGCGCCGTGATGATGTTGCTGCCGATGAAGGCCGTCACGCGCCACATGGGCAGCGCACAGCACACGATGGTGCTCAGCCAGCCCAGCACCGCCAGCGAGGTGCCCGTGATCTCCAGGCCCATGGACATGGCTGCCGCGTCAAAGCCGGCTCCGCCAGGCGGCTGCGGGTGCGGGACTGCTAGGGGCCGGGGCCGCGGGGCCTGGGCGGGAGCTGCGGCGTGCCGACGGACAGATGTTCCGACGGACTGACGGACAGACGCCCGGACGGCGGGCGCGCTAACCGCTCCGCTCTGCCCGCTGGCGCCGCGGCTGCGCCTGCACCTGCCTGTGCTTTGCGGGCGCGCGGCGGCAACTAGGCTGGCCCTGGGCTGGGGCTGGTTAGTATTAGCTCGGTGCCCGGCGCTCCGCCGGGGGCAAGAGTGGGCGGAGCCGCGCTCTTCCTGGGGACAGTGACGTGGCCCCTCTTCCCACCTTCACAGAGCGCCTTGGGAGGAAGGGCTTGGCCAGGAGTGGCGCCCGGCGAAGGGGTGGGGGTGCCCTCAGGGGGCGGGGCCGGGAGCTGCTCCCCCACCCCTCGCTCCTTGTCCCTCAGTGGGACACAACTTACCCTGGGGCTGTCCAGGTATGGGGTGCAAATCACAGTCTTCATGGCACTCCCTGACCCCCCACCCCCCGCATCTGGCATGAGCAGCTGGGGAAGGGGGCGCTGCCAACTGCCCGGGTTCCGCGGGCCCGGGAAGGGCCCCGTGTGGGCGTGGCTGAGACTGTTTCCCGGAGTGGGCGGCTGTCCCAGGAGCTGTGCACTGCTCCTCGGTCCCTCCGCCTCATCGCCCGCACGATCCAGGCCCATGGCTGGGCCACCCTGGAGGTCTGAGCTCCGAAGCCAGGAACCCGTCCTCTGACAAAGGCACCCGGATGCCCCTGAACCAGTGCAGTTCAGATTCTCCTCCAGCCCCGTTGCAGTTCCCATAGCTTTTATCTCTGGCAGTGATCCTGGTGCCACTGCGGAGCTGTTCTCCCCTCTCAGAATTGAGTCTCCTGCCCTCATTGAGCCTCCCTCTGTGCCCAAGTCCGTCCCCTGATCCACCTTAATGAAATGGTAGTGGAAGATTTGAACCAGACCAAAGTGGGAGGTCGGAGATGTCACCTGCAATGACCTTGCGCCCATACCAGATCTGCCCCCTGCCCACTCTCTAACCCCTCACTCCAGCTCAGGTATGCCATCTGCTCCCACTTCAGGACCCCTGTGCTTGTGGTGTCCTCTGCATGGGACACTTACAGATAGCCACATGGCACCCTCCTTCCCTCTTTCAGAATTTTGCTCCCTGTGAGGGCTTCCCTGATCACACTGCTTAAAATCGCAGGTAGTCACTCCACAGTCACCTGTCCCCTTTTCATACTTTATATTCTCCTTAGCATTTAACACCATATGTCTTATTTATTTTTCATTCTCTCTTTCTCTGCTCCAGTATGCCAGCTCCATTGGGACATCCAAAATGTCCCCAAACAGGCAAGAACTTCTGCCGGTTTTCTTCACTGTGGCATTTCCATTGCGTAGAACACTGCTGGGTACTCGAGAACGTTGATTTAGTGACTTGAAGGAAGGATGGACATCAGGTTCTTGTGTTCCTGCAACCTTACATGCTTGGGCATCAGTGCTGGGTAACAGGATACTACCAGGTGACCAGAATCTGGGAGCTGTGCAATCTAGTAGGACCAAGGGCACTCCCAAGCGAGATGAGAGACCTCACTGAGCTGGGAGTAGGGGTTTTTCTGGTTTGCTCCATATCTCTCAGATAACAGGCATACAGGCTGTGTCCCTTCCGTAAGTGCCCAATCCTGGTGACAGAAAAGTAAGGTAAACAGGGCCAGAGGCCCATGGAAACCAGGGTCCTACTTCTTGCAGGGGCAAAGGTCTTGGGCTGAACTTGTTGGGGCTGGGCTGGGCAGGGCTGGGAGTGCCCTGCCAGAGGGCTCAGCTGGTGCTGGGTGGGGGCTGCCCTGGCAGAAGTTCATTGTAGCCCAGGTCTGCTTCAGGGGAGTGCTGGCTGCTAGTTTCTGGTTAGTGGTGGTGGCTTTGGGCCAGAAGAGAGGCAGAAACCCCAGGCAGGGTGGCTGTGTTTAGGATTGGGGATCCCTGCTTGTTGTGTCTGGTGGGGGATGCTGTGAGCTCTGTCTCTTGCTTTGAGGCTGAGGAAAGTCACATCACCTCACTTAGCTTCAGTTTCCCTTTCTGTAGAAGGAGGAAAATGTTCTTGACAGGTGCTACCTCACAGAGCTGGGATGAGAATGGACAGAGGTAAGTGTATCATCAACCAGAAAACAACCAGGACGGGATGTGCAACTGTACAGTGAAATTATGGAGGGTTTAGTTGGACAGAACTGAATTTGAGCCCAGCTCCCTGTGTGACCTTGAGTGAGTCCTTTCCCATCTTAAGCCTCAGTTTTCTCATCTGTGAGAAGGGTCTTATTCTGAATTGCTTGGGTTAGGGGAACGGGCAGGAAGAGGTGCCTTGTTTCTGAGACTGAGGGAGGTGGGCCTGCTGGGCAGGGCAGTGAGAAGATGAGGCCAGCAGGACAAAACACTTCATGCCCAGGGGGCAAACTTTAGGGATTTTGCAAATAAAAGACTTTGCCTCTGGGTGAACTGCTCCAATCGCTTTTTGCTTAATATCTCCCATGATTCTTATAACTCAATAATAAATAACCCAATCAAAAAATGGTCAAAGAATCTGAATAAATGTTCTGAATAGACAAAGAAGATACCCAAATGGCCAAGAAGCACATGAAAAGATGTCCAATGCCATTAATCCTTAGGGAAATGCAAATTAAAACCAGAAAGAGATACCACTTCACAACCACAAGGATGGCTAGAATGGAAAAGGTGGACTACTTGAGCAAGTGTTGTTGAGATTGTGGAGAAATTGGAACCCTTGTATGCTGGTGGGAATGTAAAATGGGAGTTCATCAAAAGATAGTTTCCATATGACCCGGCAATTCCACTCTTATGTATTTACCCAAGAGAAATGAAAACACGTCAACACAATAGCTTGTACGTGAATATTCACAAAAGCATTGTTCACAATAGCCTAAAAGTGGAAACCTGCTAAATGTCAGTTGATGAATGGATAAGCAAAATGTGGTCTTTCCATACAATGGAATATTATTCAGCCATTAAAAGAAGTAATGTGCTGATACATGCTACAACATGGATGAACTTTGAAAACATCACTGTAAGTTAGAGAAACCAGTCAGAAAGGAGTACACACTGAATGATTCCTTTTATAAAAAATATCCGCTGTAGGAAAACCTACAGAGATAGAAAGTAGATCGGTGGTTGCCAGGGGATGAGATGGGAGTGCTGGGAGGAAATAGGGACTAATGGCTAAGGGGCTCAGGGTCTCTTCTGGGGTCATGAAAATGTTCTACAATTGTGCCAATGGTTGCATAACTGTGAAGAAACCAAGAAAACATCAAATAGTACACCCCATTAAACTGGTGAGCTGAATGGGGTGTAAATTACATCTCAATAAAGCTGTTAAAATAAAAACCACTCTGGTGCTTAGGGCCTTCAGTGTGTGTCTGTGCGGTATGTTTGCCCCAGAGAGTGGGAAGGAGGGTGGGATGAAGCTGTCTTTGAATGGAGGATGCTGGGAGGGGGTAGGGCTTGGCACTCCAGATGAATGTACCCCCTGCAGCCCCCTTTTTTTGTAAAAAGCAATACAGAGAGATCCTGTACCCTTTCGCTGGTTTTTCCCAATGGTAGTATTTTGCTAAATTCTAGGACATTGGTAGGATACAGAGCATTTCCTTCACTACAAGGATCCCTTGTTTGCTCTTTAATAGCCATACCCACTTCTTTCCTAACCCTTCCCTCTCTTGGCCCCTGGCAACCATTAATCTGTTGTCTATTTCTATAAATTTGTCATTCAGTAATGTTATGTAAATGGAATCATACAGTGTGTAAACTTATGGTATTTTTTGTTCACTCAGCATGATTTTCTGGGGGTTGATCCAGGTTGTTGTATATATCAGTAGTTTTTTCCTTTTATTGCTGAGTAATATTCCATGGTATGGATGCAAACATTTTGTTTAACCATCCACTGGTTGAAGGACATCTGAATCGTTTCCCCCTTGAAGCAATTACAAATAAGGCTGCTGTAAATGTCCCTGTACAGGTTTTTGTTCAAACATGTCTTCATTTCTATGGGATAAATGCTTAGGAGTGCAATTCCTGGGATATATGGTAGTCACATGGTTAGCTTTATAAGAAACTGCCAAACTGTTTTCCAGAGTTGCAGTACAATTTTATATTCCCACCAGCAATGTATGAATGATCTAGTTTCTCAGTATCCTCCCCAGCATTTGGTACTGTCACTGTATTTTCTTTTGGTCATTGTGATAGGTGTCTAATGCTATCTCATTGTGGTTTTAATTTGCATTGCCTTCATGACTAATGACTTTAAACATCTTTGCGTGTGCTTATTTGACATCTGTGTATCTTTGTTGAAATGTCTCTTCATGTCCTTCACTCATGTTCTAATTAGATTGCTTGCTTTATTACTTGAGTTTTGCAAGTTCTTTATATATTCTAGATTCTAATCTTTTGTTGAAGATGTGGTTTGCAAATATTTCTCCCACTCTGTTGCTTGTCTTTTCATCCTCTTAACAGGATCCTCCACAGAGCAAAAGCTTTATTGTTATGTTTTGTTGTATGTATTTATCTTGTATCCTGTGACCTTGCTCAAGTCATTTACTCCAGGAGTTTTTGGTAGATTTCTTGAGATTTTCTACATTGGCAATCATGTCATCTGCAAATAGGGATAGATTTATTCCTTCTTTTTGATGTCTATACCTTCCATTTACTAATTCTGCCTTATTGCACTTGCTAGAACTTTCACCACTAATATAATAAGAGTGATGAGAGTGGCCATTCTTGCTTTGCTCCCGATCTTAGGGCAGAAGTGCCTAGTCTTTCACCATTGAGTATAATGTTAGCTGTAGGATTTTTGAAGATGCTCTTAGTCAAGTTACAGAAGTTCCCTTCTATTCCTATTTTTCTGAGAGTTTTTTTTTTCATTCATGAATGGATATTGAATTTTGTTAAATGCTTTTTCTGCATCAGTTGAAATGATTATGTAATTTTTCTTCTTTAGCTTGTTCATGTGGTGGATTACACTGATTGATTTTTGAACATCAAGCCAGTTTTGCAATGCCTGGAATAAACGCTGCTGGTCAGGGTGCATAATTTTTAAAATATTGCTGACTTTTATTTGTTAATAAAAGCGAAAGATTTAATATTTAATATTTTAATATTTTGTGAAAGATTTCTGATCTGTATTCATGAGGGAT